TTTACCACGAAACAGAGCCTTCAAGTTAATTAATTCAGCAAATATACACCCAACGCTCCACATGTCTACAGGAGTGGAGTATTCTGGGCTAAGTAGCAGAAGTTCAGGCGCACGGTACCACCGTGTGCCCACGGCCGGGGTATATTGCTGAAGAGGGAATCCATATTCTCGAGCCAATCCAAAATCTGCCAGCTTTAAAACACCATCTTGAGTCAAAAGTATGTTGTCGGTCTTGAGATCTCTATGTATAATGTTATTGTCATGAAGATGTTGTACTCCTTGGAGAAGCTGTGTCATTAGGCATTTGACTTGTTCTGGGAAGAACATTCGATCATTTTGCCGCATCGAGCGCAAAAAGCTTTTCAACTGCTGCGGCACGTATTCCATGAGCAGGAACACTTCTGTTTTTCTAGAGCCCACCACTATCTCCCGCCCTGCGACAATGTTAGGATGTCGTAATTTGAGTAGAGTGTTCAGCTCCCTCTGAGCAGCGATGGAGAATCCTTCCCTTTCGTTCAGATCTTTAAGTCGTTTCAGAGCAACTATATTATCTGTTGACTTATCGAGCGCTCTGTATACAACGCCATATGATCCTTCATCAATTTTGTTTAGGAATTGGAACTCTGTAATGGACCGGCTGTCATTTAACGCGGGTTGGAAGGATGGTTCAGCATCAGTGGGTTGTCTTTGTTGTTCTTTAATCTTCTTCCATTTCTTGTCGTTGTAGCTCCTTTTTTCTCTTCGTATATAGGTTTTGTACCTATCAATTGTTGCTTGTTTCAGACCACTTGTCCCTTGATGAGTTTTCTGTAGCGGAGCTTTAGGTGGTGTGCGTAGCGAGGAATCAGCATTGTCGATTACGTTTACAGGAGTCATTGTCAGAATGAAAAAATTACGATCACTTCACTTCACTTCAGATTATGTACTCAACGTTTGCAGTCTAAACTGTAAATGCGCAAGATCTTTAAGGTCGCTCCCTTATATAGGCCCTAAAAAATACCACGCATCCTGAGAGATAACGAAACACTGAATGGGTTGATTCATAGTAACACAATAGGGTACAAGACAATTAGTTAAAATAGATACCTTTTTGCAATGCTTAAAACTGTAATTATTATTTGTTTTAATTTTGACGAGTTAACAATTTTTATACTATAACAATATTTTTTTGCTACAAATAAATGGTATTTCCTTCTTTCTCTTCACTCGCATCATATAAATTGTTTAGTTAATATAGATAGCGTTGACATACGAAAAGTTGTATACAGACTCGTACCAACTTATTAAAAAATTAAAGTAAATAAATAAATTGAGTTAATCAAGAATCAATTGTGTACCGAAACTGTTGACTTCATCGTTCACATAAATTGTTAATTGAATTTATTGAATATAAATTCGCGGCAGATCGCGGCTCTTACTATAGTACTCTCTCAAGTTCACTAGATACTGATGTATTGTTGACGATTAGTAATATAATATTATACAACTTTATCACTGTAAAAAGTGTTCAGTTTTATTTTATATTAGTGATAGTTTATTTTTAAGCAGCGTTCATGTATTATTAATTGAATTTATATTCAAATAAGAATTACTTGAGATTTTAGTTGTAATGCTGTTGTTTGTAAATATATATATATATATATATATGTATCTCTTCATTGAAGCAAGTGTATTAAATCTTAGCTAATGAAAAATTTGTATAAAAATAAAATTAGTTATAGTAATTACATTTTGGTTAATTGTTCCTCGCTGTAAAAGCTACTAATAGTAAACGTTTTTGTTAGTTAGAAATTCTTTTAAAAAATATATCCTTTTTTTGTAGAACACGATTTATTTTCTTTCATAACTATTTATTCAGCAACAATGAAAAATATTTTGACGTACCTATTTGTTTACTTTTACTAATCAATATAGTAAAAAGATCGCGTATGCGAATGAAGATTTCGACTACTGAGTGGCCACTCGTAGTAAACAATACACCATTACTATTAACAAATAATTTTAAATAAACTACTTACAATCAATTACAATTGTTGAAAGAAAGTTGAGCATTTTAGATAAAGAAGTTTTCAAAGTAGGTAAAAACAGTAATCCAGACAAAGCCTTGGTACCGTATAAATATACCACGTGCATGGGAACCTTGAAACACAATAATAATTCATTTTCATTATTGTCTATATAGCAGTCAGGTAAAAGTGTTACTAAGTTCTCAGAACTCCTCCTTTCAAGTCAACAAGTTTGAAGCTGACTTCAAAAGAAGGTGGTATAACACGAGGTCGAGATATTTTATGGAACCACTGAATCATTCAAAGTTCATGATTCGAACTTTGGTAAGGACAAGGTTTGCTTTTAGATATGAGAAGCCGGCACAAGACATGTGCTAAAAATATTTGTGTCCAAAAGTACCTATTCATTACGGCCTACCGTCTATAACGCATTCAACTAGGATGTCATAATATTAGATTGCTGGGCCGTGCTTAAATGATTTGAGAAATTGTTTTGGGCTGAAATGCCAAAACATCTTGTCCTTAACTTAGGTCATTGGCCTTACGACGATATTAATTAATACTTGCTTGACAGGATTTTTGCGTAAATAACAATGAGGACATAACGCAAACCGAACATAATATCTCTTACAATAACAGTTGCAGATTGTAACCGTTACATTTCTATACCTAACATTTTTGGGTACAAAAGCCCTTAGTTATTTTTTACTAACCTAATTCCATCCTCTATATGTATGTATTTCAGACTGGTGTTTATCATCATCATACAAATATGAAATTAACACTCCAGATTATTTTTATTACACGAAGTTGAGAACAGATTCATTAGTACTTAGATATATTTGAAGCTGTGAGTTAAGTTGACTTTTGATAAGTGACGAGTTTCATGGTCGACAGTAAACCCGTAATCTATTAAAATTGCAATTCCTATTATTTCTTAACTTAGTTTATTCATTCATTTTCATTTTTTTAGTAAGTAGGTACGAGTCTGTGCACAACTTACCTTATGTCAACGCTATCTACATTAACCCGGCGTTATTGAGGCAGGGTCAATATGACCCTGCACGTTTTGCATACGAAAAATTTCTTAGAAATAATTGCCGCACACAACCGTCTGTCTCAGTAGCTGCAGCTAAGTATCACCCCCATCCTTCGTGTACCTCACTTTAGTCGTCCATCGCTCGAGCAAGGAGCAACACGTGTGTGAACCTGCGACCGGGTAATTATGACCCAGCTCAACGGCGACGTTGCTGCTTTGTGCCATATATTTTTTTAATATTTTATTTAGTTTTGCTTATTTACGCTACTTTATTTTTAGATAACTATCTAATATGGACCCGGAAGAACGTGAGCGTCGTCGAATCGTAGCGATACTTGAAGAATCTTCAGATAGTGACAATGAACCTTGTGCATCTGATTCGGAAAACGAAGATCATGTTAGTGTTCGTAGTCAGGAAAGTAATACTGATCAAGAAATTAGTGACAGTGAAGAAAACATTCCACTGCAACAATTACGTCAATTCAATTCAAGTGATGACATAGTAGAATTGTCAGACCAACAGGTACGAAATTATTTTTATAGTGGGAAAGATGGTACTAAATGGTACAAAACTCCTTTCCGGCAAAATGTCCGCACTCGAAGCGAGAATATTACACAGCAGCCTGGAGTAGCTCAAGAAGCAAAGACGGCTAAATCGGAATTAGAATGTTGGCAATTTTTATACCGGATAATTTGCTGTATAAGAAATAGCAACAATGAGACAAACATGAAACGACGTCAGTTTATAAAAAAGTTGGGTTTAGCTCTCGTGAACCACCATATTTCTTTACGCAATGATTCAGTAAATCTTCCTAGGAAAATGCGCAAAAGAATGATAGAATTTACTGGAGAAACATCTGGAGAACCTCCTGCAAAGCTCACTGGTGTTCGAAGAAGGTGTCAAGATTGTCCCTACAAAAAAGATAGAAAGACAAATCACATATGTAATACTTGCCATAAGTTTATATGCCCTCAACACGTAGTCTTTTATTGTAAAAACTGCAGTGAAAGTCTAATTAAAAAAGACTGATTATTCGAAAGTTCCTGATATTTTTGTGATTAATATTCCAAAGATAGAGAGATTAGGTAGTATAAATTTGATTTAAGTATATTTTTGTAAGAAACGATATTGTTTTTTGTTGATAAAAAAACCCTTAGAAGAGAGTTAAATTTTTATTGTATAATTAACAGTCTTATTGAAAGTTAAAAATAAAAATTACTTCATTTATTACCAAGGTGTTTTATTGTTGCTACTGATTATATATACACTTATATATTATTAAAATCGAATAAAAAAAATTACAAATCATTTTATACTACGTAAAATAGTAACAATTGCAACAGGGTCATAATGACCCACTTCAACGTTAGTGTAACTTTTTTCCGCCACAATGACGCCGGGTTAACAAAACAATTTGCATGATGGGACAGAAGCGAAAGAAGAAAATAAAATATTTTATTTAAGCTAAAATATTATTACAAAAAAGTCTTTAATTGACAAAAATAGTCTTACTCGTTTCAAATCTTTGAGTACCGTCATTAAAGACACAAAACCGGTACTCGACGAGTTAAGCATAGCAAAATGTACCGATTCAAACTAATTGTGACTACCCTATTGTGTTACTATGAATAAACTCATTCAGTGGTTATTATCTCTCACGATGCGTGGTATTTTTAGGGCCTATATAAGGGCAGAACCTTAAAGGACGAGCGCAAACTTTGACCGAATTAAGACTACAAACTTTGACCACGTATTTTGAAGTGAAGTGAAGTGATCGTATACTATCAAACTGACAATGAGTTCTCTAAACGTAATCGACAATGCTGATACGTTGCTACGCACATCACCTAAAGCTGTACTTCCAAGAACTCATCATGAGATACATGGTCTGAAAAAAAGAATAATGTACTGATACAAAAACGATGCACGGAGAGAAAAAAAGAGCTGCAATGGCTTGAAATGGAAGAAGATTAAAGAAGAACAAAACAAACCTACTGCTGCTGAACCATTCTTTCAACCAACGTTAAACGACAGTCGGTCCATTGAAGAGTTCGAATACCTAAATAAAATTGACGAAGGATCATACGGCGTTGTATACAGAGCTCGTGATAAGACAACAGATGATATAGTTGATCTAAAACGACTTAAAGATCTGAACGAAAGCGAAGGATTCTCCATCGCTGCTCAGAGGGAGCTGAACACCCTGCTCAAGTTACGACATCCTAACATTGTCATAGGGCGGGAGATAGCGGTGGGCTCTAGAAGCAACGAGATATATCTATTTTTGTAGTACGTGCCGCACCAGTTAAAAAGTATAATACGCTCGGTGTGGGAAAATCATCTAATGTTCTCCCTAGGGTACGTCAAATGCCTTATGACGCAACTACTGAAGGCTGTACAACATCTTCATGACAATCACATTAAACATAGAGATCTCAAGACCGACAACATACTCTTGTCTCAAGATGGTGTTCTAAAGGTTGCAGATTTTGGATTGGCCCGAGAATATGGATTCCCTCTTCAACAATATACTCCGGGCGTGGTAACACTGTGGTACCGTGCGCCTGAACTACTGTTACTTAGCCCAGAATACTCAAGGCTTATAGACATGCGGAGTGTTGGGTGTATAGTTGCTGAGTTAGTTAACTTGCTGCCTCTGTTTCCCGGCACATCTGAGCTGGATCAAGTGCACAGAATTTTTTTGAGTTTGGGTACACCGTCTGACGCAATTTGGCCAGGCTACAGCACATTGCTGCCGGTAGGAAACATAATGTTTGAGGACTACCCACCGAGCGGGTTGCGTAAAAAAATAAGTCAGAAATCGTTGTCTGAAGACGGGCTATATTTTAACCTACGATCCTGCAAGAAGAACAACAGCAGCCGCAGCTTTAGAGCACGCATACTTCAAGGAGCAGCCGGTGGCAATCGAGCCGGCCATGTTCCCGATGTCGCAGCGGTCAGTATTCCGGCGCGGAAATGGGTGAAGATCGCGGCTCTTACCTACTATAGTACTTGCTTAGATTCCCTAGAAAATGACGTACTTATTAATGACGTTTGATATTATAATATTACAACTTTGTTATTATAAAAAGTGTTCAGTTTTATTGTATTTTAGTTTTTATTCTAGTGTTGATGTATTATTAAATAAAAGTATATTCAAATAAGAATAGTTAGACATTATAGCTTTAATGTTGTTGTTTGTAAGTATGTACATATGTGTATCTTTCTACTGTAGCATGTGTGTAAATCTTTGTGAATTTTAAAATTTGTATAAAATAAAATTTGCTGTAATAATTACTCTTTGTTTAATTGTTTCTCACTGTGAATACTAATAATAGCGAAACTTTTTCCAAATAAGAATGGTGAACACGATTTATTTTTTCCATAAAGATTTATACAGAGTGTCCCTGATTTCGATGATCAAGTGGCACAAGGTGATTAGCAAGATTCCTTCAGTTATCCAAAAAATATAAAAACACTCAAATTAGATACTTTTTTGATTATTATGATTTATGTATTATCCACGAAAAAGTACAACCTGTGCCAGTCTTTTGACTCTTGTTGCTACAATTCTTTATTTTTTTGCCAATATTTTTACCGACATTATCCTGAATAGGCTTCAGTATACTGGAATAATAAATTCTGAGCCTTTTCAACTCATGTTAAGTGACTGTACTGAAAAAAATTGTACTGCGGTAGTGATGGCAAATTTCACCAAAGTTGCAGCATGTAATAAAAATTCTTAAATGATAGTATGTCACTCCCTACATTATTTCTTAAGTTCGACGCAAAAAAATAATTTTCAACGAAACTTCGTGTCCAACTACGTATTTGGACTTACTATTTTTTTTCTACTGGTACCCAAAGCGCACTTAAAGATCTCGTATCCACTAGCTATTGTTAAACATGTTGGAAATCGGCGAGGACCTCTTATTAAACCACATCATCGGTCTACTCATGATTTCTTTCGCTGTATTCTTCGGCGAAATTGTAATTGCCATGCATCATATTCCGTTCTTTAAAATTTTCGGTAGTAGTAACCCGCCAGTCCAGATCACGGATCTTGATTAGAGGATCCTCCCAAATCAATTTTTTTTTTGATGGAATAAGTTGTTTAAACATGCAAAGGACTTGTGCACACTGGGACACAACCGCGTCACCTTCGCACCGTCATGCTGTGCACACGATGCCGCCGCGCCGACATTGCACCGCTCGCTGCTACGTCTGCCTGATTTGACGACACATTACCATGCATTATGGTATTAAACATCAAATGTTCTTTAGTGAAATGTGATCCACAGCATGTGTTCCTCTAGCAACAATATTGCCGACGAATGCTGCGAGTGGATCATGAGGAGACAAACAGTGTTATTTTTGAGACTTTGTTGATTTCTTACATGTTTAGCAATAATTATAATCATGACTTCATGTCGCATGCAAAGTGGTTTTTAGGTACGCTTTGGTAATCCAAAGCGTACCTAAAAACCTAGTATTAACTAGAATACATTTTAGTAAGTTTAAATAAATTGTTCTAAACGGGGTTTTCGTTAAAAATATTTTTGTGTCAAATTTATGAAACAATGTAGAAAGTGGTATTTTTTTTAAGGGGGAAAATCATCGAATGATTGCTCCTGCCTGGGTGAGGCGAAAGGGAGTGTCAGACTCTTCCTGACTAAAAACCACCCCGTTCCTTCTCCTGCACGTCGAGCCGGAGCCCTGGTTACCCGTTAGGTTCTCCGCGACTCCGAATCGGCATCGGCCCTATTGGGCCCCATCCGTGGTGGTCTGATGGCACTTTGAGGCGCGCGCGGAACGCGACGCGCCGTACGCTCGGGTCTGTTTCTGGTCGGACCGGGAGCCACCCATGCTCGCCGTCCGCAGGCCCGCGCTTACGGTGGCCGGAGATCGTCCCGCGATCCCCGACGCCCGGTGTGTCCTTCGCGATGGCTGGGTTGCGAGGAGGCAGCGCTTCGCTGCCTCACGCGTCCCGCCACCTCCTTAGCTAGCATGACTGCTTCGCAAAAGGAGGAGACGGCATCCCAGTCCCCCTCGCTCCGCATCATGGCCTGCACTAGGCCCGGACGCGAGAGGTCGCCATCGCCGATCACTTCCCTGAGGGCACGGCGGTGCTCAGCCCACGCAGGGCATTCCGCTACGGTGTGTTCCACCGTGTCCTCATAGAGAGTGGTATGCCATTTCAGAATCCATATCAAATGCCCCAACTTTGGTGAAATTTGCCACTACTACCGCAGTACTTTTTTTTTTCAGTACAGTCACTTAAACTAATGCGAAAATTTTATTGAGTACTAAAGCAGTGGGCTCAGAGTTTATGATTCATCTACTTTTACTTATCAATCTAGCAAAAAGATCCCGTATAATAGAACAATGATTTCTACTACTGGGAGTCCACTCGTAGTAAACAAAACACCATTATTATTAACAAAGAACTTTAAATAAGCTACTTACAGCAGTTCAAACAATTAAACTTGTTGAAAGAAAGTTAAGAATTTCAGATAAAGAAGTTTTCAAAGCAGGTAAAACAGTAACCCAGACAAAGCCTTGGCACCATATAAATATACCAATTGCGTGGGAACTTTGAACCACAATAATAATTCATCATATTGTCTATATAGCAGTCAGGTAAAAGTGTGACTTTGTTCTGGTTTCAAAAGAAGGTAATATACTGAAAGTTTACTTTTAGAGATCACATCATATAGATATGAAACTAACACTTCAGATTATTTTTTATTTCAAATGGAAGCAAAGATATATTAGTAGATATTTGAAGCTGTGAGTTAAGATGAATATTAAGATGAGATATTATTTATTATTAATTACACAAGTGAAGAGTTTCATGCTTAACTGTAATCCCGTAATCTGTTAAATTGCATTCCCAATTTTTTTATAACGTAGTTTATTTATTCATTTTAATTTTAGTAAGTAGGTACGAGTCTGTACAACTTATCTTATTACTAGCTTTTACCCGCGGCTTCGCTCGCGTCACAAAAGGATAAAAAATAGCCTATGTGACATATACCAATACACACAGCGCCATCTATACCAATACTTTGGTTTTCCCTTTTTATTCGGGAATATCAAATTTAAAAAGATTAAAAAGTACCCTATTATTTAATCCGGACTTTTAACTTTACGACTGCAAAAATTCAAAGCAATCGGTTTAGTAGTTACGGCGTGATAGTGGAACAAACAAACAAACTCACTTTCCGATTTATAATATTAGTAAGGATAAGGATTAAACAAAAAAAAATGTATCAAAACTATTAGGTATGTCAACCAAAGTCGTTATCTCGTCAAAATGAACAAAGTAAGAATAATAGTTTTAAGCACAGCAAAACTATTGTATTGATTTAAACTAATTGTTAACTACCCTATTGTGTTACTATGAATAACCCCATTCATTGTTTCGTTATCTCTCAGGATGCGTGGTATTTTTAGGGCCTATATAAGGGCAGGACCTTAACGAACGTGCGCATTTACAGTTTAGACTGCAAACGTTGACTACTCAACAGATTGTGAAGTGAAGTGATCGTATACTTTCAAACCGACAATGAGTTCTCCAAACGTAATCGACAATGCTGATACCTTGCTACGCACAACACCTAAAGCTGTACTTCCAAAAACTCAACAAGAGATACATGGTCTGAAAAAAATAATAATGTACAGATACAAAAACGATGCACGGAGAGAAAAAAAGAACTGCAATGGCTTGAAATGGAAGAAGATTAAAGAAGAACAAAAACAGCCTGCTGAAGTTGAACCATCCTTCCACACAGCGTTAAACGACAGTCGGTTCATTGAAGAGTTTGAATATCTAAATAAAATTGACGAAGGATCATACGGCGTTGTATACAGAGCTCGGGATAAGTCAACAGATGATATAGTTGCTCTGAAACGACTTAAACATATGAATGGAAAAGAAAGATTCTCCATGGCTGCTCAGAGGGAACTAAACACCCTACTGAAAATAAAACATCCAAACATTGTCGCAGGGCAGGGTATAGCGGTGGGCTCTAGTAATGACGAAAAGTTTATAATAATGGAATACGTGCCGCACCAGTTAAAATGTTTCTTGGAGACAATGCGGCTAAATCTTCGAATATTCTCCCCAGGACACGTCAAATGCTTGATGACGCAACTTTTAGGGGCAATACAACATCTTCATGACAATCACATTATACATAGAGATCTCAAACCCGGTAACATACTGTTGTCTGAAGATGGTGTTCTGAAGGTGGCAGATTTTGGATTGGCCCGAGAATATGGATTCCC